GACTAATACGACCCCCACCAACCAAATAAAGTTGGTTACATTTTAAAGGATTCATTATCTATATCACTGAGTCGTAACTAAACTCGCCCTTTTTTCCCATACAGGTAGTTATGGACGCTGAAATGCCAGTTACACCTACGCCAACCATGCGTTCGGCTGTCACTGTGCCGCGCCCTGGGGCTACCCCCGTAGCAGCGCCACGAACAACACCAGCAACAGCTGCACCGACAGCTGCTCGACGTGCCATGCGCCCAACGCCTACTTTAGTTTCGGAGCCGCCTCGCCTCCGCTGCCCGCTCTGTTGCCGTTCACACCGGCTGCAGCACTGCCCCATTTTTACGGGTATGACACCCAATCAATGTCAGCAGGTGGCCCAGGGCATTGTTTGAATTGTTTGGCCCACACGGACGATATCGTGTGCCAACACTGCGATTGGCCGCATCATACCTTGCTGCATCGAAACACAAGACGCCCTGTCGCACGGGCCTCATTACCCTGCAGACATGATGCAGGCCGTCGCCCACAACCAAGCCATGCAGCACGACCCCGATGGCGACAAGCACTCGCCGCACCCCGTACTTGGCGTCAGCTCAATAACACCTCAAAACGACACCAATCCTTAAGGCCGCATACTCGCCGCAGGACAGGCCTCAGCAACGTCGTGGCAACGTTGCAACAACTCCAGCGACTGCTAGGCTGAACATTCGCCTAGGGGGGCCGGGATGGCTAAATGAGTTCAGCTTCTCGCCCTAATGCAGTCAACAACACCGCACAACACACCACTCATGCGACAGCACAACACACCGCTCACACGACAGCATAACACACCACTTACAGGACAACACTGGCACACCACACCTGGAAACATCAGCACACCCACACACCACGCACCAAGCCAACCTTGCTGGAAGCAGCAGCATACACCCACACACAGCAGAATAACTCTACACACCAACATGAACAAAACCAGGAAGGACGATCGCGCCGAGCCTCTTTTCCATCAAAAGCGGCAACAGGGAAGTGGCAATTTGAAGTTTCGCCTTTTGTCCACGGTCGTACATCCCGATTATACCTTTATATTATCCAAGTGACGTTATAAGTTTTTGATTTGTTGAGAAAATATTAACATATTTATAAATATATTACATTGTAAACTGCGTTCAACGTTTGCAACCGGAATAAATTGGGTAATATTTTTTTCCTAATTTTTACAAATACGTGAGTTTTTAGTGGAACGAAAAGTGAAGCGAAAAGGTGAGAACAAAGTTACAAAGCTAACTAGTACCTATTAAAGATATTTCAGAAAATGGGGAATAAGGATAAAAATAAGCTTACCAAAAATGCTATAAATTAATAGAATTAGCGTGGAAGCTAAGGAATGAACACTCACAGTCAGAGTTCTGGTTAGATTTATTAGGGGTGTTGTGGAATCCAAGACATATTTGTTGCTGTCAGAACTGCAAACCAATTTTGATTTTCAATGCTGTTTCAGAATTTGATTGTATTTTCGTCTTTTCGAACATATGCAAAACCAATATTCGAATAAGCTGTTTACTATCGTGACAGAACTTACAAATTATTAAATTTGGAAGAGTTTGATAAATTTGAAATACTGAATGAAGTCTACTAAATTTTACAATGAGTTCCGCTATTTTAGCTTTTATTTTATTTGAAGAAATAAGTAATGAAAAAATTAAAAGGAATATTTTTGAAGATCACAGTAATCCACTTAGATGCACCAAAGAAATCGCATGTGAAATTTGGCTTGCATTTAATTGTATCTATGTTTTTATACATCTTACTTTACATTTTTTTTTACACATTATCGACTGAATAAAGACGAATAAATTGCGTTTTGTAAATCCTTTTAAAATATCTAGATATTTTCCTAAACTTAATAATTATAACATTTTGTATTTAATTCTTATGTTTTCCCTCATAGAAATAACGATAAATTAAATCGTTACCATACAAATTATTTTCTTAACTTACATTTCAAATCTGTCAGCGAATATCCTCTTGCTTTGTTCTTATAACAAAACCGATACAATTTCTGTTTCGAACGTCAAACCAATATCTGAATTCATGACACCTAATAAATTTTTGTTATTGGTTTCAATTCTGTCCAACAACTATCAGATTCTACAATACCCCTGATTAATTTGATCTTGAAAACCACAGAAACAGAAATCTCTTGTAACCTCCTAGGTAATAAATTCGGTCTGTTTAAAGAAGTGACTTAACCGATAGTGGGCTTTCGACGTTAGAAGTTGCAGACCCAATGACATACGAAATGAAGCCAAAAAAGAATTGGATATAAAATGATCAGAAAACGATCAATGACACCTATGACTATCACGTATCTTTAATTGTGCAAGTGTAGCAGCCGTTAGACAACATAATACTAAATTATATTTAATATAAATACTAAATTATACTTATAACTATACTAGTCAATATCATCTACCTACCGCTGAAAATTGCGTCGTCTGTCACTATTTTGGGTATCTTAGCGAATAGGCTGTGTTCGTTATGAATTTATTGCCGCAGTGTTACCTTTGATGAGCAAGCATTACGTTCTTTGCGAAAATTCTAGATACTTCGGTCACACGTTCTATCGGTAAATTGTTCTGATCTATTGCGCATCCCTAGCAAAACAAACACGGCATACAAATTTTAACTTCGCTTTTAGATTGAGAAGCTGTTAATGAAATTTGTAGTAACTATTAATTTTATGTTCGATAAAATGTACCAGATGTGGCTATTATTAAATAACGAGACTGCTTACTAAAAATGGTTTAATTAAAAAAGTATGCTACAATCGAACTTTCCCCGTCAATATACTCCCCTCTCCTTGCCACACACCGCTCTATCCTTTTTTCCCAGCACTGGAGTACCCCTAGCGGTCAAATAACTCTTAACAGAAAGTGCGTTGTGCGCAGGTGCGTTATCCTGGTGCAGAATCCTCCACGAATTGTTTTTCCATCACGCCGGCCCTTTTTTACGAACTCGTTCGCGCAGTGTTGCCAGAACTGCCAAATAGTATTGTTGGTTCACCGTCTGCCCCTCTGGAACCCATTCAGTCATCACAATGACGTTGATGATTTCGGCTGATTCGGATGATTTTCGGCGTAGGAACAAAAACATGTTTATTTTAAACCGCTACAGAAATAAAATACTTTACCGCCAGACATGTATTCTCGTACTGGAATAGTAGACCCTTCCAGCTGTACAACGGCGCATTAGGTTCCGGCCTACCCTCTCCTGCCATACTTCTGAAAAAGTTCTTAAATTTTATGACTTGCAGCATTCTTTAAACTGATTTTTTGTCTTCTTTTAACTGTATTTATCAAAAATCTTTTGTCGCTAATTGTACTTAAATATTATGAATAATTGTACTTGTATGAAGTGAGCGTTAAGATACATATGTATTGGTAGGGAACATTTGTTGTGAACGAGCCTTAATTTTTTTACTGTTTCATTTGCATGACATCTGTCAAACAGATTCAATAACCGTACAGTCATTGAACAAACAACATCATATTTTTTCACTGTGTTGAAAATGTCAAATTGAAAATTTGTACCGGAAAGCATTAATTATACTCTCGCAACCTGTTGCTACAATTGCATTATTCAAAAACAAATAAATTGCCATAACTAAGCTCCACAACAAGATACAAGACTCTTATTTGGTATCACAATAAGGAGCGGCATCTGCAGTTAAAATTTTTTTTAAGTGGGCGTGGCCCAGCCCCTAATAGGTTTAATGTGCATATATCCTAAACCGCTAATGCTATAATAACAAAATTCATTAGAAGCAAATGTTTTTAAAACCTCTACCTACAGTGTGAAAATGGGTGAAATCGGGTGACAACTCCGCCCACTCCCCATATAACGGTACTGTTAAAAACTACTAAAGCGCGATAAATCAAGCACTAAACAGGCCAGAGACATTAAATTTTATCTCTGGGATGGTATGAGATGACTTTATAGGAATCGCGTTCAAAATTAGACAGTGGGCGTTGCACAGCCCACTTTTAGGTGAAAACCCATATCTTGGGATTTGCTTAACCGCTTTCAACCAAATTCGGTGCATAACGTTCTTTTCATATTTCTATGTTATAGTTCGAAAATGGGCGAAATCGGACTACAACCACACCTACTTCCCTTATAACACCATTTTAAATTTCATCTGATTCTTTCACTTTCCACTATGCATATCAAGCAACAATGATTATATCGGGGTAAAACTTTGCGTGAATAATACGTTTAAACCGAAAACTGTCTAAATCGAACCAAAGCTGTTCAACCCCCAAAGTACTAAATATGTGGACCCCAGTGCCTATTGTTGATCTTTTACCGAAAAAATCAGTCAATCCACAAAGAAATCTCAAATAAATATACCCTTTGACTTTGCGAGAGTATAAAATGTTCGGTTACATCCGAACTTATCCCTTCCTTACTTGTTTTTTGTTTCCATTTGAATAAAAGTGCTGCAGAGTCGCATCGAATGATTGTCGAGGCATATGGTGATCATGTTATTTCAGAAGCAACATGCGAAAGATGGTTTCAACGGTTCAGAGATAATGATTTTGATGTGAGAAATGAAGAACGTGGAAGGCCAGCAAAAAAAGTTTGAAGACGCTGAACTGCAAGAAATATTGGATGAAGATGAGATTTTGAGTCAAAAGCAAATGTCAACCATGTTAAATGTTGCACAACAAACAATTTCAGACCGTTTTAAAGGTATGGAGAAAGATCCAAAAGTGTGGAAAATGGGTGCCAGGAGAAAATTATGGGATAATCTGAGATAACCTTCAACATCGACTGCAATAACAGATCAATTCGGTAAGAATCTGTTTAGTGTAATCAAAAGGGTGCGGTATATCATGAGCTTCTAAAAAGTGGTGAAACTGTTAATACTAATCGCTATGGACATTAAATGATCAATTTGAACCATGCATTGGTCGAAAGGCGACCAGAATGGGCCAATAGAGACGGCAAATTTTGTTACACGACAAAGCACCTGCACACAAAGCAAAATCGGTTGAGGATACAATCGAAGTACTTGTCTGGGAGCTGCTACCCCACCCGCCGTATTCGCCAGACACGCATTTGCTGAGCTGCACTTCGATTCCTAAGCAGAAGTCGAAAATTAGGTGTCTGATTGGTTTGTTCCAAAAGGATAACATTTCTATGGGTATGTTATCCATAAATTGCCAGAAAGGTAGACAAATAGTGTAAAAAGCAGTGGTCAATACTTAAATATTTTTTTTTGCTTTCTCATTCAAAATTATTATTTCATTTTCTTAAAAAAAAGAGTAACAACGTTTAAGTTTCCGAATATAATGTAAATATTCCTTTGAAATCGAGCGCTCTTGCAACCAGAAAGGAATTTCAAAAGAAAAAGGAATGTCGAATTGCGTGCCAACGAGCTGTTACGGAAAAGAACTCTAAGCATGCGATACGAGCACTAGCGGCACGGACTCCTCATATTTTCTCGTCGTCCCTCCGCCTACGAAAACCGGTTTTTTGCGGCAATAAGAGACCTTGTCTGAACAAGCACATACATAGCTCATGACGATTGACCAGTTTTACGTCGTCACAATTCCAGTTTTGTGAACTGATTTCCCCACGCATTCATAATAATCAAACTATCTGTAGGTAAGCTAACCACAACTTGTTGAAAACGGTTCTGTCACTAAAAGCTATCATCCAGTTAAGCTACCAGCGGTTAGGGATAATATTAAATATTTCCTAGACATATAGCGGGAGTATGATACTGCACTGTGAATAATTCTTCAAAATAAAAAGACGGATCACTTTTAATCAAGTAGAAGTTTTCATGTTGTTCCTTTTGCGCATAGTTCTTCATTAAATAAAAAATGAAAAAAAAATGTTTAAGCGATTAAGCAAATTGAATTTGTCTAAGAAAATTATTTGTATTTTTTACAAACATTGCTTTTTGAAAAAATTACTAATATCAAATATAAGAGGACATTTTCACTCATAATCGTACTGCATATAAGCGAAATCGATTCGGTTTGTTTAAAGAATATAAATACATATGTACCGTGGTCGTGTAAAAAGTAATAATAACAATAACCCTCGAAATTGAAAAATCGTCAAAGTTGTATATTTTAGTTATAGGGTAGAACCAAAAAACGTTTATTGTACAAGAAAAGCTCGACCATTGAAAAGTACAAAAAGTACAAGTACACTTGGGACATTTTATCTCATATGTGATATGAACTCAACCGAAGGTGCTAACCTTGATAATATTGGGTATATGAGAATAGCACCAAACAAATAATCAGAAGTTATGATATTAGTCATTATTCATATTCAGTGATAAACCATCTTATGCTTGAGAGATCCACTTTGAGCCGGTTTCCTAATACTCGGTTAATATTGCTCTTGACCTCTGGTAGCTCAACTCGACGATAGGTTTAACTGACAGACAGTTTAATTATTGTTAATGTGTGTGGAAGACAGTTCACAAAACTTGCATTGTGAATACGCAAAAGTTATATAAACGTCATGGGCCATGTAAATTAATTTAAAAAAAAAGAGCAACAATAAAAGATATACTGGGGTGTTGTGGAATCCAATACAGATTTGCTTAGCTGTCAGAATTGCAAATTAGTTCTGATCTTCAATGGTGTCGCAGAATCTGATTGGGGACTGCTACATGTTTAATATGTATTGACCGCGATACAGGTTCGCGATATTTATAGGACGTCCTTACAAGACGGATGTAACCAATTTACCACTACATTTGTAAAATTTCCTTTCGTCCACTACTACATATTCGAAACTAACTTTTTGTTTTTAAACGGAAAATTCTGTTGTAAGAGTAGCAACATTCATCATGCATAATTTATCAATGCGTAAGAATGAGATGCACAAATAAATTAATCATTTTCCATCGACAATGGCCGACATTATTTGGAGAAAATTTTTGACGTAAGCGCTATTTTTTTGATATGCTCGATAAATTTTATAGTATTTTATTTTGTTTTGTAGATTCAAAAGACGTTTACAAAGAAGATAAGTTTTTGAATTTTATGTTTTTCTTAAAGAATTGATTAAATATAATTGCAGAGAGAGAAAAACTCTCAATGTGCTGCCCGAGCTGGAAATCGATTGATATTTTTCTCAATGATGATTCCAAGGTAGGTTGCCTTAAGGTTGGAAAGACGAATTACTTACATTGTCTTGCCTCCTCTAGGTTGTATTGCCTTGTAATTTGCAACGCATGATTTAGAACGCGCGAAAGATTTTCCATATCAATAAGCGCATGTCCACAGATCTGTCGCCGCTATGAGTAATTAACGACGTACTCAATTTCTTGCAGGGCTGTGTCATTGTGGTGGGCAACGTCCATCTTTCGAAACAGGCCAATGAGACACTCAACACTTTCCATTTAGCTGGTGTGTCGTCAAATAACGTTACACTGTTGCTACGTATCAAATTGAAATATTCCAAGTGTTAAGCGTAGAGGTAGTGCGCAAATCGCTTAAGACGGAAATTAATGGTATGCTGTAGATCTACGGCCTTGCTATGTAATAGCAGCTTACTGATTACAAGTAAGTAAATTATAGAACTCTTTTAGATGTTATACCTATATAATTGAGGCCATACATCGGCATTATATATATATAATATATAACTAGGGTCGCTAGTGGTCGAAATTCAAGCAATAAAAAATACAATTTATTAACAACGTTAATAGTATTTAAATTTTATTAAAGAATTTGAAAAAATGTTGAGCAAAATCTAAAGAAATTTGTAGAAAACAATTTACAGAAGTAAATTAAAAAAAATATTAAATTCTATATGTTCGGTTTCTGATTTTGGCTTAATTCTTGCTTGAATGAACAATCGAATCCAATCGGCTTATTTGAATTCGTCGTCATATGTGGCCACGTATGCATCTGCGAAAGGATACTAAAATAATACAACGGATAACCAAGAGCTGACTCTTTCGATGGTTGTACAAAATCCTTTGGAAATTCTTTCGAACATTTTCCATCTTGCATACATACAGAGCTTGGATTCAAACCAGCGGATGGACCGTGGATCATGTGTTTGGCAACACATTCATGTAATTCTGGCTGTAAATTTTTATGCGGCATCTCTGCAATTTTATCAATATCAGCACTCCCGAAAATTTTGTAATTTTCACATAAAGGGTGCGTTCGAGATGGCAATCACGACAGCAGTGTTGCCAATTTGTCAAAGTATCACGTTTTGCGTGAATTTCTGGCAACACTTGTATCACGTTTTACTGATGAAATGAGATCATTCATTAGGATAAATATTAATTACAATATCCGGCCAATTCGAATTGCAAGTCATGAATTGGAAGAAAATCGCAACCACAAATCCGTTGTAAACGATACACAATTGTCCGATGTATAATACTTATGTATTCTCTTGAAAATAACATCGACCATGAAAACGCGCCAGTCGCTAAATTTGCGTCTTCTTGTTAGCATAATCTATCATAATCTTCAACTAAAATCTTTTCTTTGGTTATAAGAGGCTATCAGATGAAATTTTAATATTTTGTTTGGTTACCTTAACATAGGTATTCCATGTTAATCATTTGTTTGGTTACCAAAGAAATGTTATGATAACCAAAGAAAATCTTACATATAATATAAATATTTTAACAAATACAAAAAAAAGAAGATAATTTTTAAGTAATTTTAGACATTTGCGTTCTTCCGTACCGTTCCTACATGTATGTACATAATATGCGAATATTAAAAATTAGTATAACTATTGTAAATTATAAAAAGTTTAACAATTAATATTAACTATCTATAAACCAGCTTTTTAACAATAAAATAATGATAAAATAATATATATGTATATAAATGTTAGCCAAAAAAATTATTGTAAGAAGGAAAATTTAGTTTGTAATGTATATATTGTACATATATTGTAACAAAGCTTTTTGCTGCCCTTGTAATTTGTTGAGCTATACTCGCCGTGTCCAGGGCTCGTTACAATAAATTTGTAAAGTATGGGTCTTCACAAATCGTACTTTATTTTATATTTTCTTATATTTATAAATCTTCGTGCTTTAAATAGATAAAATGTTGTCTTCCGCGTTGTAGTGGCGGCACCCGAGGAACGCGCTATGGCAAAGTAGCGATTTAGCGTGACCCGTTTGCGCGTTACCATCACTCGGAATCACGGAAGACAGTGGCAGCGCCCGCGATGCCAAGCGTGGAACAGTTCAGACGATTGTCTCAATACCCACTTCATGCGTGACTTCCAGCCTTCGTACGTTAAAGAGTGAAAGGCTTGCTAGAGGATCGACTCACTGCGAGACATTCACTCCTTGCGGCAGTAGCGTCACCGCCGCTTCGCGACTCCGTTGAATAGTTTGTATACGATAACGTTTTCCGCTCTGCCGCGCTAGAATTGTATTAGGACGACTTACGTTTGTTCTGTTCTGCTGTGCGGCACGCTCGTATAGGCGACGATGATGCTGAGATGTGTATGTCCGCCCGCGCATAGGCTCTCTGCTATTTAACTCGCGGCGTGACTGCAGTATAGATCGGCTTGCTAAATTCAGCCAAGCTGTGTGTTGCTTGCTAGCGTATTCGCTACATGTTACTTTGGGATGGCATGTGTTGCTAGAATTAGCGTGCTTTTCTCGTTGTAGCCGAATACTTGTTGTGTTGTTTACGTGGCATGGTTTTACCGTTGTGTATGAATCCTTGTTGTTTTCAGCTGCATGTCTTGTTTATTTTTTTTTTTTTTTTGTGTTCGGAGGGGGAATCTTTCAAGATATCGTCATTTTTGCGGACGACATGCACGATTCGAGTTGTCCGCTAATGGTGCACCTCATTCGGACCACATCTCTCTCTT